AAAAAAAAAAAAAAAAAAAAAGAATTTATTTCCACTTCAGCTTGTGAAGGTATAAAGCCCCTTCTTTCTGTAACTCGCGGATCCCCAGCTCAGGTTGAGAATTCCGCTGGAACTACTAAGTGTTCCCCGACGGGCCGCAGGTCATCTGGGGCCTCTGTGTGTGCACCCCGACTATACGCTCTAGAAGCAAGCCTGGATGCCGCTGGCCCCTCGCATGGCATTTAGACGAGTATATCACGCCGGCATTTGGTATGAATTCACTCAGGTCCAGAAAGGTGGCCAGGCCACACGATCACAACACTACACACGAAAATCACCTTAGAAGCGGGAAAGATAAAGTCATGTGACTCGCCCCCCCTTTCCTGGTGTCACGTGCCTCGCGTCTGGTCACGCAGGTTGCGCCTTCTTTCCATTGGTTGGCGCTGATACGCGATAAAGGGCGGGGCCGGAAGCCGGGGTACTGGCTGAGGCAGCGAAGAGGCTCCGGGACAGGAGGGAGGGGAAGGGGGCGGGTAGTTGCCTGCGGGAGGCAGCCAATGGTCATGTGACCGGAAGGGCTCCTGACGGACGCCGTCCCTCCTCGGCGCGGCCCGAGCGCCCGGCCCGACCCCAGCCATGGGGTGCTGCTACAGCAGCGAGAACGAGGACTCGGACCAGGTGCGGCCGCGGCAGGCGGGTTCGGGAATAAGGGCTAAGACCCTGGGGCATGGGGTCCAGAATGAAACCTACGGAGGACGGGGAGCCGGACTGTAGGGCTCGCTGAGTACGGAGGCCTGGAGGGGACAGTTTACAGAGGGGACGCGAACCGAGGCTCTTACCCTCCTATTAAAGCCTCAGGTCTACACAGTCCCCGCCTCAGGGTGTGCAGGCAGCTGCCTATCCGGGTCGCTCCCAAGTCTTTCCTCCGCTTCTAACTTAAAACCCCTAAAGCTTCAAGGATCCTCAGTCTAGGTCCCTGGGAAGCACTCCCTTCTCAGCTTCTCGTGCCTTCTGTGAATTAGCCGGCTTTGCGAATCCATTGTAGAGGCGGGTAAGCTGAGGCTCTGAGTTAGTCCCGAGATGAATCAGGAATTCGTGTATTCTCAGTCCCTGGGGTTGGATAAGAAAGGTCGCAGCTAGTTCAGGGTCAGAGGAGGACTATGGAAGTTGGCGGCATTTGAGTTGGCCAGTGAAGGCTTTGATAGAGACAATGAGGATATCGAGATGTGTGTGTGGCGGGGGTGAGCTGTTGGGAAAGTGGCAGATCGGGTTTATCTTTGGATTGTGGGAAAAGAGAGACAGGATGGGAGTTCATGTGGGTCTGAGTTTGGCTTGTCCCCAGTGCAGTTCCTGCCTGGGGCCTGAAGGTTCCTGTAGCTAGAGAGGTGCCTGTCCTGAGAGTTTGGTTGTAGATCTGATTCCTTTGGAGAAAGGGTTAGCCTGGGGAGACCTGTAGTTTTCAATTCCCCCTTGGTGCATTCTCAGTTCTCCCCACACTGCCTGCCTGACCATTTCTGAGGAAGGGGAGACCTTTCCCAAGATACAGTCTCAAGCTGCTGACCACTCACCTTTTTTGATTGCCTCTAAGCCTGGGTCAAACATTGCAACACATAGTGGACAGGAGAGAATAGAAAGGTTTCAAATAGTTCAGTCTAGGGGAGAGAGCCGTAGATTGAGATTATATCACTGTTACTGGGGAAGTAGTTCTTTCCCCAGTAAAGGTATTTTGGATAAAGGGCTTACATCTAGGAAAATATGATTTTATGGGAGGCACGGCATGGGTGGCTTCTGGTTCTCATTTCTCCAAACACTCAATGAAAAATACTCATATTTTATTTGCTCTGTGTTAGACATGTCTGTGTCTCATGCTCAATACCTTTTAGTTCACCCTAGCCTGTTAGAGACAGAGACAGCGATAACCCTGCCTACTGGGACAGTTGCGACTTACTGGGAAATTGTCCCTTAAAGCATAATATGGACTCTTGCAGGGAATGACTCAAGAAAGGTTAATGCTTTATGAGAAAGAATGCCAATTTCTAGTTGGGAGAGCAGGGCTTGCTGCCCCAGAGGAAGCACTTTAATCAATACTGGGTGATTTGAGGCCTCAGGTAATAAAGACCATAACCAGTTACCCACGCCTTCCCCCAAAGTCTCTTTCAGGTCTTGGGCAGGGCTCTTTCCCACTTTCATCTCTGCCCTTTATTATAATTTTTAAAATGTACAAAATTCATTACAGTTTACAAAGTCCTTTTACAGTTACAGTTATCTCAAATGACTGTTGTGAAACATCTGTCACCTAGTTATGGGTTATGTCTAGTTAAAGATGAGGAAAAATGCCAGTCACGGTAGCTAATGCCTGTAATCCCAGCACTTTGGGAGGCTGAGATGAGAGGATTGCCTGAGTCCACGGGTTTGAGGCCAACCTGGGCAACTTGGTGAGACCTCATCTCTACAATAAATCAAAAAATTAGCCGGCCGTGGTAGCACGAGCCTGTAGCTCCAGTTACTTGGAAGGCTGAGGTGGAAGGATTGCCTGAACCCAGCAGGCCGAGGCTGTGGTGGCCGTGAGCGTGCCACTGTACTCCAGCCAAGGTGACAGAGTGAGACTCTGACTCAAAAAAAGAAAAAAAATGAAAAAGTTCAAAGACAGGCTAAGTGATTTGACCAAGCTGAGAAGTGCCGTAGCCAAGGTGTACTGATGCCAAGCCACATACCTTATCCATTGGGCCAAGCTGTCTCTCAGGTGGTCAGTCATGGGCAAGCCACTATGTGTCTGTGCTAGAGTAGACAGTGAAACTCTGACTCTTGGGTTACATTGACTCAGGGACAAATTGGTGTGACAAACCTACCTCCTGCTCCACTTGCACTTTGGGTTTGGGGTGATATTCATCCACTCAAGGGGGTAGCGTGGCCTCCTCTGGGAGTCTAGGTCTCAGCAAAAGTCTTATACTTCACTCGATCTTAGCCAAAGCCTGACAAGTGATCAACCTTGTTCTTGAAAGACCCTTGATAGGGAAGAAACTGCTCTGTCCTGTGGGAAGATCTGTCTGAAGTGGGTTGGGTGAAAGACAGAAATAGAAAGTTTCACCTTTGGCAAGCATTTTGTTTTTCTAGCCCTTTAATAAGGTATTTTGGGGAGGAGGGTGTCTGGGAGCTCATAGGTGATTGTGCAGAAGCCCACAACTTCTGTCTCATGCTGTTGGGAACTGGATCCAATTTCCTGAGGCAACCTAGGCTTGAGAAGGAAGAGTAGTGAAAAGGCTAGGCCTGCTTAGGGTGGGGTAGGCAGGGCAGGAGGAAGTGGCTCTCTATAAGGAGAGTCTGTGTAGGAACTGAGATAGGCCTGAGGGAGTGTTCTGCTGGCACTGAGGATTGCTGTGTCAGCATTAGCCAAGATGCCCCCTCCACCCCACCCTGTTCTTGGCTTTTCCTGGGCACCTTTACTCTTACAGCTTGGATAGATACCCAGCAAGTCTGCTTATCCAGTTTGCAGCTGATACAAGGCAGTAGGGATTTGCAGCTGATGGGCTCAAGGGAGGGTTGAATCCAGAAAGATTACAGTAGATTAGAATAAGGGACTGAAACAGGACAAGGAGAAGTGCAGGACTGGAGGGCTTGATTTGGTCTTAGACCAGTTCTGGGGATTGTGATTTCACCACAGGATGGTAGTAACAGGGCTGCTGAAAATGTAGATGCCTCTCAGACCACATTAAAAGAAGTGTGGCAGTTTAGCGAGGGAGGGAACGGTTCCACTGTTCAGCTCATACCAGGATACACCAGGTGCACCCAGTTTGGTTCTGGGAGTCACATAGAAAAAGAGCACCAGAGGGCAGGAGGGTGAACACCTGAGAGTACGAGGGACCTGCCCTCAAGAAGGAAGCACTCTTGTACTATGTGACTCAGAGCTGGGATTTTTGCCCTGACATAATTTGGGGAATGGCCATTGAGAGGTTGGGTTGGTTTCCTCTGGGGCCTAGGGCTTTGTCTGGACTCACCAGAGCCTCTCCACCTTGGGCAAAGACAGCCTTTCTGGGGAGGGCCTGGTCCTGAAGGACCTGGAGGGTCATTCTTGGGCTCCTTGTACGATGCCCCTCCAGACCCTACTGCTTTGAATTTCTCACCTCTGTTTTCCAGCTTCCAGTATCCTTTCTCCACCAGGTGTGCACTGTATTCTGAAGCTCCAGGGCTGTTGGTGAATACCCGCTTTGTGCCTGTGTCCATCCTTTCAGGGGTTCTAGGACTGCTTGGTTCCACTCTAGTTTACCTTAGACACTGTCTCAGCTGGGCTCCTGAGAGCAGGCAGGAACTGAGTCTTACCTGACATTCCATAAAGCTGGGCACTTTGGTTATTCCTTATAGAAGTATTTTTGGTGTTTAAAGTCAGAGCTGGCCTGAGGGGAGAGCCCAGGAAAGGCAGGTTGAACTAAGGAATCTGGGGCTGACTTCTCCCCCCCGGCCTCTTCTAGGACCGAGAGGAGCGGAAGCTGCTGCTGGACCCTAGCAGCCCTCCAACCAAAGCCCTCAATGGAGCTGAACCCAACTACCACAGCCTGCCTTCCGCTCGCACAGATGAGCAGGCCCTGCTCTCCTCCATCCTCGCCAAGACAGCCAGGTGAGTGTCACAGGACCAAGCCTGGGATAGAGCTCCTCCATTCACATTAAAGGGTGGGGTAGAGGGCGCCAGGCCCAGGACATGGGAGATGGGACAAGGTCACTGCAGAGAGGTGCCTCATGGCCCAGTCCTGCTCCAGTGGGCTGGCAGGGTCATTGGTGTCAGATAGCCCTGGAGTTGGCATCTGGCACCGAGTACTGTTTGTCCCTCTTGGAAGCACCTGTTGTGTCATCTCTGTCTCCCTTTCCCAAGCAACATCATCGATGTGTCTGCTGCAGACTCCCAGGGCATGGAACAGCATGAGTACATGGACCGAGCAAGGCAGTACAGGTGAGCACCTAGCTAACTTGGGTCCCTCAGGTTACATGGGCTCCTTCCCTTCCCTTCCCTCCATCCCTGTTCCAGCTTTGGGTCCAAGACTAGGCTTCTCATTTGGGTGCAGCCCTGGAGACTGGCTACAAATCATTTGGGTGCCTCAGTAGATATTCATGTCAGCCCTGTTTACCCTGTGGCACTTGCGAGGGCGCTAAGGCCTACAGTGAGTTTTTGATGAGCTGTGACCACCTCTTCTCCTAGCCCATCACCCTGTTTCTCTGGCCTGAGGGAGTGAGGCTTGCCTGGGCTGGGCTGCGCTGGACTGGGCAGGGCTGGGTAGGGCAGACTGTGGCCTAACTGCCCACCGCCGTTCCCCTCCTTCTTGGCCAGCACCCGCCTGGCTGTGCTGAGTAGCAGCCTGACCCATTGGAAGAAGCTGCCACCGCTGCCATCTCTCACCAGTCAGCCCCACCAAGTGCTGGCCAGCGAGCCCATCCCCTTCTCCGACTTGCAGCAGGTGAGACACCCTTCACCTGCCCTGCCCACCCTTCCCTCTCCGCCCAAATTATGGCAGAAGGGTTCATCTGTCCTGCCTCAGAGGGAAGGCGGAGTTAGGGATCCTGTAACCTGCGGGTCCCAACTCACTCTCACTTCACTCTCTTACTTGTTATATCCCCCTATCTTCTGCCCCTCACCTTTTTTTTTCTCCTCTTGGTTCTTTTCCTTCTGTCTTTCCTATCTCTATTATTCTCTTTGGCTTCGTGTCTCCTGTCATTCCCTCCTCTCTCCTTCATTGCTTTCTAACCCCCCACCTCCTCGTTCCTGATTGCCCCCTTACGTGTCTGTTCCTCTCCTCCCCGGCCCCTTTTCTGTCTCAGGTCTCCAGGATAGCTGCTTACGCCTACAGTGCACTTTCTCAGATCCGTGTGGACGCAAAAGAGGAGCTGGTTGTACAGTTTGGGATCCCATGAAGAGAGGGGTCCTGGGACAGCTCTTCTCCTCTCTTCACCCTGTCTCCACCCTGCCTCCCCTGGCCCCCAGCCTCACTGCGGCTTATACAGTACCCTAACCTGCTACTAATCACAGTGAAGAATGTGGAGGAGGAGAAGAGCAAGACTAGAAGCCTGAACAAGTGAGGATGGTGCAAGGGAGGGTAGAACCATTTGGGACTGGTCTTTGAAGACCTGCCAGGGGTGGGCTGGGGCCAGAA